AGTAAAACGTTAAATAAACCAAAGATTCTGTTTGATAAATAAGTCTGATGACAAATTTCAAAATTTGACATAAAATTTCTACGATATACTCAAAATTTGGTAATTTTTGTCTCACACGAACTGCATAAGATAGAAACAGAAAAAGTTTTACCTGGGGTATTTCCACCACTATAGTTAATAAACATAAGTAACGTTCAAAAAGAAACCATTATTAAAAAATACTAACAATATATGTCTTACGTCCCTTTTTTTGTAGTTATAAAGACAGCGCTATTATTTGTTAACACTCTCGGCGTCTAGAATATATTGTTTTTATGTTAACAAATTCGTTGAAAATTATAACATATTTTTTTTATATTTTTAAATTTTGTAGCAGTCTTCTCAAATCAAATTTTTTGCCAGTGCAAATATGATGATGTGCAAGCTGATCCCTCAAATACGAAGACATAAAACTCTATGTTAATATGTCTCTACAGTTTTTTATATTTTTATTCGTAACTTTTTTAATATTAACGTCAGGTCAAAATTTTTTTGTCAGAATTACCGTTACCGAGATATATGTTAAACAAAAAACAAAATCTACTAAATATTTAGACTCTGGAGTGTGAAATGAAGAACCATAATAATTACCAGTTTCTGAAACTTGATAAAATGTTTCTATTATTAATATGTCCACGAGAGGTAGGTGCAAATGTAAGTACGAGTTCCAAACAATTTAGACGTTTAGATAAACTTGATGCGATACAATTGCAGAAAAAAATATTTTTTTCTGTAAAACCTCCGTAAACTGATTTCTGTAAGTATCTAGAATAGTGCAGAAAATTCAAATATCAGTCAATAAATTACAACTATACAGAAGGTTACGACTTCCAACGTAAGCTTATCACAATAAATCCAGTACTTAACATGCATTTCTTGTTGTATGATGACAATTAGTTGTGCACAAACATTGCAGTTCTTATCTGCTGGTGCAATATAAGCTCCTTCATTTTAAATCAAGCTACAGTTTTCGATCGTATGGGGCAGCGATAATATTTGGGTATTACAAGTTTAAGAATTATATAGTGTGAAATTAAAAAAATACCTACTAGTATGATTTATAATTACACAGAATTACTTACATTGCTTAGTATCATTTAATTAAAAAAATCTAAACTTGCATGTGTCATGAAATTAAGTTATCTGGCGTAAAGTCAATTTAAGACAAAACATGTTTCATTGACTGAAAGTGTGTTACAACATTAAAATTTAACATGGTGCGATGATAAAACACTGTCTTGAATACTACATTTGATGAAGTGCGAGTTGTACACGTTTTAAACAGAATCACGAGTTACTTAAACAATTAAAAATTAACACTGAATTAATACTGTAGTACTTAAATACATAAAAAATATAGTACTATTTTGTTATTACTTTATATGATTTTCGGTAATACTATTTTTTCCCAAAGTAGAAATAGTGCCACACCCTCTATAAATAATTTAATAATAGTATAATACGGTTACTGCTTCCAAGTTGATAAAACTTTATGGAATTACAATAACATTACAGTAACCTTATTAGACTATTATTAATTCTCTTGGAATGAACAGAAATATTTTTAAAATAACAGTTATGCTGGCTAACTGTTGTTTATTAAAATAGAAATTAAAATAGAAACAATAGTCTAAATCAGTAAAATTGCATATACGACTTTGTTGTGAAAATACAGTAATACATTACGAATTATGTATTATGTACTTGTATATTTTCTACTGAACTGTCAGTTAAATACGTACATACTTGATAAAACAAAAAATCATTTGCTTTGCCCAAAGTGTAATTCTTGAACACAGTTGTGTGTGAATTCTGATTAAAATTATTTCCCACTGTTTGAGAACACACTATCGGCACTAAATAATCTCCTGATAAATTTACATAACGTTACGATTCGATTTTAGAGGCAGGAAAGATGAAATATTTATACACATGTTTAAAAACGATAAATACACTGAAAAATTTCGCAAAGCCACTTTAAAAATTATTAATTTAACTAGTGATCGTTATTTTATTAAAGAAGCATTCACTACTGACACATTAAATTTAATTATGCGTTTATTTGTCTTCTTTTTTTTGCTAATTTATACATCATGTGTCAATAGTGAATGGTTAATAATTTTTAAAGTTTGGATTTGCGAAATTTTTCAGGGTGGCAGGTTTTTTGCCGGTCAGTGCAATATACAATACATATTTATCAATTAAGTATACATATGGTATTTGAAAAAAAAAACACCAATTATGGAAGGTAAACAAGCTAATTCTTGATTTTTCTACTCTTCGTAAAGGTAGAACGCAACATAAGTAATAATATTTCAATTTCACAATTTCTTATAACGAGAAAGAATTCTACGACTAGGTATCAAAAGTGTATTTTTAATCTTGCAAATTGCACGGTAAAAGCATACCTACTGAAAAGAAAATTGTAACACATATACTTTTTTTTAATAAAGTAGACTGGTGTGTTCTTGCGTATTTACATGACAAGCGGCATGAAAGCATTAATACCATACGCGTGTGAAGTTTGCTCACAATGAGGCATTAGGTAAATTGTATAATCACGCGAGTGAGTTTGATAATAACGTCTTAATCCACGTAAACAGAATTTGTTTAAATAAACGAAAAAGATTTTCACGTGTTAAAAGTGCGTGCCGTGGTGTAACTCATTATCTAACTCGAACTGAGAAGTGAAATTTATCCACTATACCGTAGATAAAGAAACTTTATTTTTTATTATTTGCATTATTACTGACAAAACATTTATGGCTGTGGCTTTTCATTATATGTATTTTTTAAATTCATTTGTTTCTTTTGGTTTTTCTGTTTTTTAAATTTCTAATCCAGGTAGGCTGGCAGTTTAGAAACGTTACGTGCGTGCGCTTGGTGTATTGCTTTTTATTCCAAAGCCAATCTAAATTCAAAATTTATATATTTCACTGATTTTTTTTATTATGGATTAAAAAAAATTTAGTTAATTAAAATTAATGCAGGATTTAATAAATTGAACATCTCTAAAATCACTATTAGTACTATTTGCTCAGAATTCTACGCTTTGTGTGCAAAAAATACGACATTTATATTTCTCCAGCACAATATAATTTGAAATTTACATTTTATTATTAATATAGTGTGATCCGCAGCATTTTTATTTTCAATCCTTTGTATAAATAAGTCTCTCCAAGAACGAATAAATGATATTATCATAATATTATTATTATTTTACTATAATATCCAAGATGTCTACAGAGCAATGTTTAAAACAAATCATAAGAAATATTGCTGTCAACAAAAATATTGGGGTACTACTACAAGGAAAAATACTTCTAGAATAATAAATTATTTGAACAGATTTATAAAGTACAGGAGTCTGAAAAACTGTATTAAACTAAAGTAGGCCTACAAATGCAATACCTACTTACACTTAGTAATTATGTCACTACATAGAAGCGTTCATAATCATCTCTTACAGGGGAAAAGAAGATCGTGACGTTAGAGTAGGGCATGAAGTGACGTGTGTTTATTTATGATTTTTGATAGTGTTTTAACCTGTTCATAAAATGTCCAGCGAAAATTGCGTATTCATTATTCATTCAATATTAACCCGAGTGTGTCCGAAAATTAGTGTTTCATATTACCCGCCAATTTGATGACGTCAGAATAGGGCAAGCGGTCTTTAACATAGTGATTGGCGGGAGTTGACATCCGCAGATCTTACTAATACAGGGACTTTGGCAAGTACCCAATTTTCTACGTGTAAGTACTGAGTGAACCAATCAGAAAAGAAGATCTTAATCATGCGCATTACTCTGTAATGATCAGCTGCGAATGTGCTGTATTTTGAATCTTGTAAGCCTAATAATGACAACATACGTTCACATTCGGTTTTTAATGAGATTTTGATCTAATTTTCACAAATATGGATAGAAAGTTTGACGAGAAACTAATACTAATTTTGCGATAATATCCGGCAGTTTGAGATAAAAGTTTAAAATCGTTGAGTTACGAACGGGAAATGTAACTTTCGACCGATAAATTCATAATTTTCCGTTAAACTCTGTTTTGATAAGTATAATTTCTGAAGTTTGAATTTTTTGTTTTTGTTGTTGCTTACATTACTAAAGAATTAAACTTAAATGTATATTAAAACTGTGAAACGTCACCTTATGCCAAAAAACGAGGTTTAAAAGGCGTTTTGTAAAACGACTACTTCAAGTGTGTAGCTTTAAAAGTACTCGTGACTGGTTAGTGACAAATGTGTTCATTTTTTGAAATAATTGTAATAAAGAATGAAACATTTTTTTTAATTTAAAACAGTTATAACAACTTGAATTTGTGAAACGTCACCGAATGCTAACGAATGAAATTTAAGCGCGGTTTGTAAATGAGCAAGTTTCTTCTACTACGTCAATGCCTCCAACAAGACGACAACGGCTACTTCAGGTGTGTGTGTAGCTTTAAAACTACTCGACAGTTTCATCAACTGGTCGGTGGCTTGGTGTTGTTGACTGTCGAGCATCCGGCCCCCATACTATGAAGCTTGTTACGCCTCTGTGGTAACCATAGATACAAAACAAAAACAATGTCACAACTCAAAGCAACAATAATTAACTGTCAAAGTGGCTTTTCGTAATGAATTTGGTTAACATGTCCATCAACGCTTAATCCAGAAAATTGATCGCAACATGTTTGTGAGAAAAATTACACAATGTACACACGAGTGGTAATCATAACGAGCGCGAACCGTTGAAAATCCCGATAATCTTAACGAAAAATCGTAGATGGGGTATCGATTAATGTTTATGTAAATGTGAGTCGTGGCGTTGGAACAATTAAGTGAGTAAAAGACAGACGTCCGGTTCGGTCCGCGATGTGCCTGATCTTCTCGTTTGATTGTTGGCAAAAGTCGCGCGTCGCCTCGCCGCTAATTAATGATGCAAGTGTATGAAATGTGGCGAACCCACCTAATACTCAGATCGACGACAGCCTCATCAACTTCCATCTTCTCCATGGGCCTGGGCCCCCTGCCTGCGCTCACCTGCTCACGTCGTGCCCTAACCTCTTTCCAGCGTTCGCGTTTTCGAGAAGACACCAAACATGACACGGCGACCGACGCGGCGCCCCGAACGCACCTTGGGTCAATTACGGGTGCACCGAAAATCGTAATCTAAACCTCGCGTTGACAAATCGATTATCTTCCTGTACACACTGTACTCGGGACAAACACCCCCGGCACCGGCACATCCCCGGCCGCCGCCGCCGCGCTCTGCCCCCGGCAGCCCCACTGCACACTTGCAACACGGAAAATCGCGACTTCACTCACTTCACTCCGGCCCGAAATTAACAGACGACTGATTCAATTCAATATGGCGTGGCCTTGTGTTGTGTCTACACTACCGCGATGATAAAACAGACGTATCGTGAACAGTCAACTTTTACTACGTCACTCCTACCTTTCACGACGTGCGTCTGAGCTCGCACCGGACGCGCTTTATTCATACGACGTGCGGCCCAAGCTTGGACGTGCCGCGTGCGCGCCATCTCTCTCCGACGCACGACAGCTTCCGTCCGCCAGCGGAAGAATCGCGCGCGGTAACTGCTCGCATCGCACTTCCGAACCAATCGCATGAAACAAAACAGCTAAATATGCAGCTGTCTCGCTTTAAATTGCGCGAGATGGGACGTATCAGAGGGGGACGTACGCGGTTTCTTCTCGATTTTCTCTCGTTCATAAACATGTCATTCGGAAGAAAAAAGTCGCGGCGTTGCGGGGTTGCCTTTTCGAGATTAAACAGTGACGTAACGGACAGTTTACGGAATTTTGCTGATGTTACAACGGCTGGACAGTTACATAAAGTATTGTGTAGCATCCCGGTCACAAATACGTACATCAATTTTTTAACACAATTGTTGGGTTTTTCTCGTTGTTTTTATATATTTTATTGTTCAAACCAACGATAATAAATAGTTTTTCTCTGGTTTTCTCTTACTGCGGTTTTACTACCGGGTTGTAGTGACATAAAAGTGTCCGAGGTTCGAATCTGTTTAATATGCTAATTTAATGAAAAATCAATAACGCGGTGTCTAAAGTAGAGAATTTCAATTTTGTAAAGTGTAACAGCTTTTCGCATGCAAATTTTAAAAAGTCTATATATGTCTTTTATACAATCTAATTGAATAATTAATATTTTTTTATTTAATAATTAACACTAATTTTCATACTTCTAGCGACCTCATCATGTGCATAATACGTAACACGAAACGATTGCAAAGTGACGCGTGTAACGTGGTGACGGTAGTGGAAATAATACCGCAAAATTTAAATTTGTCATGTTATATGACATCTGAGCGTCTTAGCAAAGGTTCAGCGCGGTATTAATATTCATGTCGCAACTGTCAACTCCAATAGCCGCCATTATATCTTTAGTTATTGATTAACTCATATTTTCTGTTACTCTCGGATTCGCTATTATTTAAAAGTTTATTAAAAATGTAGAAACTTAATTATTCAGAAGTATATACTATTATCATTATCATGTGCTATTCCAACTCGCACAGCAGACAGTGAATCGATCTGTCCCGACTTGTGCATCAAAGTTATTATTGAAATTACAAATGTTTTAAAAGTTGCATTATTTCTTCAAAATAAAAAAAAATACGTGAGATTGCAGCACGTTATCTACTGGTCGCTGTTTTCGCCACAAAAATCGAATACTAATTTTCGTCTAGTTGAATGATTTTTACAAGCAATATTTCAGTTATCGCAGAAATACCATGATGTCGTAAAACTGTATCTAAATTCAACTTTAAGACAAGCCTGGAACATAATGAGACAATGAATAGTTGAACGTAGGTATACCATAAACTTTGTTCGTCCTATCTTTACCGCACACGTCACACAAACAAAATATCGATCAACCATGTAAAATAAGAATCTAATAACTGTAATCATTTCTTTATTTAACGCCAAATGATCTACAGGATTCTAAAAATCAAAAAATGCTATTTGTAATAAGTTTTAAAATTAAAATATAAAATGCGTTGCAACCCCTTGGGAACTACAATCCAATACCATTGCAGTATGTGAAAAAATCTATAAATAGTCAGGAATGTAGTAACATAATGAGAATTTTCGAACAAGTGGTAACAATTTTTGGCGTAGGCATCATTTTATAAGGAAGTTTTTATTATTCGCATGAAGTATGTTATACGGTGTGACTCTATACTATGAAATATGTATTCATTCATTCTACACTTGAAACGATATATAATTATATACTTTCACTACACTTGTTCGGGGGAAATTTATTTTTAACTGCGTTTTGACAGTAAAATATATTATTAAAGCAGTGTTGCATTTGGGTCTACATTTATAATTTTTAATAAAGGACGTTTCAAAATTTTATGTAACGTCACCAACTTTCGCACGGGGCTGAATAAAAAAACTTAGTGTTCAATAATCCTTAAATAACTCTTTTAGAGACATTCCACTGAAGGTCGTAATATATAATCTCCGAAGATACGCTATGTAAAAATTTTATTTTTAATTTTTACAACAACTTATATACGTAGCATTGCAGCTAGCATTAAAATTAGGGGTATATTGTTGATTCATAAATAAAGGAATTTAAAACACTACACACTTCAAGGAACATTTACTTAATATTTTGAGGTGATGTCATCAACGTCTTGGACAAGATTAATAGCCAAATTAACGACTTACCATCTTCACGATAATGTTAAAATATACTTAACCTTTCACTGCAAGCGGTTCTACAGTTTCGGAGATTCTCATTTAGCTATCGTCATTCGGAAAATATGGATTAAAATATACTTCGGCGCTCAAAGTGTGCATGCCAAGTTGACAGTTCATTAGCAGAATAAGAGAATATTACTATAAAGTAAGCAATATCGCATGTCAGGATATTTTTTTTTATACTTATATACAGGAAAGTGGTTCAAATTTAAAACGGAATTTTGTTCCATGAAACGAAAAAATGAATCAATAAAGATGGAAGCTCTCTTTTACACAGTTAGTTACTCTTGCAAGATTTTAGTTTATTGGTTACAATAAAGACAGCTCAACCGGTGCATATTAATGTTGTGCAAAGAATTATTAAATTTCTTTCCAACGAAAACGTAAATTCTAGTCAGATCCTGATGAGGCTTTACCAACAATTTGGGAAATATACCATCTCTAATATTCAAGTATTCTATCTATTGGTGCAAACAGTTTAAAAAAGGAAGAATGCGCGCAGAGAACCTCCGGTATTAGACGTTCCAAATCTGCGCATACTGAAATTCATATTCAGCAAATAGACGAGTTAATACGCCATGATCGACGAATTTGTGGACGCAAAATTGCAGACACGGGTGCAAATAAGTGTGGATAGTATTGAAAAAATAATCCTTGACGAATTTAGAAAAGTTTGTACAAGAAGGTGTCCAAAATCGCTTCCTTTAGAACAGAAACAAAGACGGATTCGGAGGATTCAACAAAAAACAAGAACTTGCAGTATTTTTTAAAATAAAGAAAAACAATAAAGTTTTTGCACATTTAGATTACTTAAAGTTCTTAAAACCTATAGTCAGCCAGAACTTATAAATGTCACGTTAACAAATAGATTTATATGTCAAAATGTTTGGCAGGTATTGTATCATATCACTGCATACGGAACCACCCACCACCCCCTTGAAATTTCTAAAAAATGCTCTAGACTTTACAAACATCTAAAAAATATTAAAAAGTCATGTAATTTGTTGTCATTTGTTTGTTATTGTTTATGTTTAATTTTGTCATTATTTAATACCGCATGATGTCCACATATTTTTTGCCAATTTTAATAATGCAAAATATAAAACAAAACTAACGGCCATTTGTGACAACTTTAATAATATTATTTGAAGTGTATATGATAATTATTAATTATACTTGCTTTCTCTTTTCTTTTCTTTGTGTTTACTAGTTATTAAATTGTGAATCAGAATTGTTTAGTGCCGCCGGGACACCGGGAAATTTCCCTGTCTATTTTTTTGCTACTTTTTTTTAATACAATTGTTTACATTTTTCACATATATAGGATGTTACAATTACAAATGCAATAAATACTTATTCCCAAAAATATAAAAGATACATAAAAACGATATATGTAAATATTAAATGAAAGCATCTTTTTACTTTCAGAACGTAAAATCAGTACGAAACAATAGGTCGCCCGTTTCCGTCTGTCCGTCTGTCGGTCTGTCTGCCGTCTGTCCGGATTTTTATTAAACCTATAATCTCCGAAACTACTAACCCAGTTGTTAAATTTTATATGTGTATTATCAATAACGTGTAGATTAAAAATTTGGCTAATCATCCCTACCAACAATTTGTTGACGTCATCTCCAAAATTTACAGTAGTAAATATTATTTAAATTTTATAAAATACTCCTGCACATGTGGTTTATGAACCCCTGTTGACTTTTTTCCTAGACATCAAAATTTTTGGAGAAAAAATCAAAATTTGTAACATCTTGCAATTTAACTTTAAAACTGCTCTGAAATTTTGGAAACGTTTTAGGTTATCGTAAGCATGGTAAATCGTTAATCAAATTTTCTTTGTTTATGCTCCTTTAAAACAATAATGACATGATTTTACAATTTTGCTGATTTAATTCATAATTACCAAGTATGTATAAAATTTGGTGATTCCAAAAACTTTGTTTATTATTTCAAATCCAATTCTCATCTCACTAACTCGGGTTTTAAGACTGGATTATCGGATATCAGTAGAAAGTAAAACGCTAAAATGGTACTTTTCACATCCCAATTTTTTTTTTCATCTATTTAAGCTTTTTTTACCTGTTTTTTTATCTACACTTTAAACTAAAAAAAGTCAATTTTTGTCGTCAAGTTTTTTTAATGCATTTTTTTTAACATTTCACCCCTTTTTAAAGGTTATTTTTTAAAAAGTTGTGGATTTCTAAAGATTTTGACCATGATTCCAGCCCATCCATATAGAAACCGCTGACTTTGACTTAAAAACCACTTCAACTTCAAAATTGGCCTGCTAACCTTACAATAAATTAAAAAACAAAATGTGGAGTGAAATGTATCATTTTACTTACCACTAATTTAAAATAATAATTTGTCCCTTTTTTTGGTGTTATATTTAATTTTATAGGATTGAATACTCCTGCATGTGTGATTCATGAATCTGTGTCGGGTTTAATCCCAGAGATCCAGCTTTTTAGGGAAAACAATGAAAACTGTATAACATTTTACGACTTTTAACTTTGAAATTATAAAACCGCATGCTTTAAAAACTTACAACTTTAAGATTATGGTAAGCATAGTAAATCATTAATAATTTTTTTTTCGTTTATGGCCTTCTAAAAAATGATGACGTTATTTTATATGTATGTGTAATTTAGAATCCATGTTGA